CACAAAAAACTAGGCCAAAACGTACTACTATACCCGTACTTTATGGAGAGTTAAAAGACAGGGTCCACATAATTGACAGCATGTGAGCTTTGAATGACTTCTTGTGTCATATATATTCAAACTGAAGGGGGTAAATACACATTGTGGCTTTCTACGCAACTTTGAAATGAAGCATCCGATGACATTGGTTGCGTAACGTCCAAAACGTTCGACTGGTATACTTCGTTTACACCAGAGCTATCTCCTACACATCCTTTTTCAAATGAATTTCACTGAATATACTTTTATTTATCACCCATGTTAATCCTTTACTGCGGTTGTGACAATTTTACTCAAGACTTCTATCGCTTGCACAGACTCAATAAATCATAGGTGCGTCTGGTTTGTACTTGTACTCCTGGAATGCAAAGCCAATTTGTAGGTGGTAGAATTTCCAAGAAATTGGGACTACCACCTATATCGATGGTTAAATTCTTATCCTTCTCACTGGTTAGCTCAGGGAGACCGAGCTGTTGACAGCTATTCTGCATGAACTACGATTCGCCGGAAATTCCGCGAGGATGCACTGTAGAGGGGCATAGAGAACTGCGAATTAAGCTAGTCAGCACAAATGACAAACAAACAGAATGAGTCGGCCCACCAACAGAAACTTGATATCTTCAATATGTCACAAGTTTTATGGTTGCCTCTCAATTGGGGCTTGTGTTTTGCCACCGCAACCAGGTTCAAGCACCAAACACGGGCTTTGGGTCACCATGAAAACGCAGTGTGTGGAAAAATCCAATCACTGTCATGTATCTGGGCTTTTGCTACCGTTGCCATAGTTTGTCTTAAATTCTTGGTTTATCAGTGCACTACTATAAAATATGCTTCTAGTTTCCCTGAGCAGTGTGGATAGCCATCTGCTGCTCTTTATGTGTTTGCTGGCTTTCACTTGTGTAAACGTACTACTCAATGATTTTTCAGTAACACATCCTTGCGAGGCAAAAAATACTCTCCTACGCTGAGCATGGTTTGCTGCCTCTTGCTACCTTGATCCATTGCCTAGGTGAACTCACTTTTGGGATTTACACATATGAGGCAATGCGAAGGTGTGAATAAGAGAATCTCAAATACTATCTGCAATCAATTCAGAGTGCATAGATCAAAGCCTGCACGCCCTAGACGTAATTCCGAGCGGTAAATTTCGTAAGCTTCTCGCAAACGATGGGAAACGATGGAAATAAATTTCAATAACTGTGTATTTTTGAGATGTGCCTTATGGTGATTGAGTTATAGTGAAGACAGTGACTCTTAATATTTTGTTCCCCGTATTATCTGCTTACAAACTCCATGGGGAACTTTGGAAAAATTGGGATACCACGGAAGTTTGCATCATCGAACATATTATTTTGAAAAGACTGTGAACTTGGCCAGGCATTTTATTATGTAAACAAATCACCAGCTAGTAACGTGTGAAGTCCGTACTATCATCTCTGAATGGACCAATCAATGGGTAGAATTTAGCAACTACTTTTTGTTACCGCACATCTGTTTGCCAGGGATAGAAGTTGTTAGCTTTCAAGGCACAAATGAAAAAAAACTTCGCGCCCCAAGAAACAAGCAAAGTGCATGCACCGGGAAGTTTGGTATCTTCGAGAAATGCCGCGACCTAACATATACCTTTGGTTGTCTAGTTTAATTTTTTGTAGATTCGGACATGAATGATTGTCGGTGTACAACAAGCGTGAAAAGATAATGATTTATATGAAAATGAAATGACACGTCAACTTAAAGGATATTTTAAACGAAAAGTTCTTTTCTCAACTAAGGTACTGGGGTCCGAATTTTCCGACTTGGCGAAGAATTTGCAAAATTAAATTGTTTAAACCAGGATTATTGACAATTCTTCATCAGTGTCCTGCTTTTATGTTTCCCCTATGTCCAACAATATCTCTATAGTGGTTCGGAGAGTACATTTAACCTAAATTATGCATTACGACGGTGAAGCTGGATATAAAAGCGATGATGGAAGTATGTTTTGGGGGTACGACGGTACACTGGATTCATATTTTAACTTTCTTTATTGTTGCAGCATCAGTGGAATTCACCACCTAAATGGTAGTTGAAATGCGACAAATGATTGTGAACCTTTTGTGAATAAAGGACTTCCAACTGTTGCTCATTTGGAACAAGTCCTACGTAGTTCTCTGGGAACGTCGGTCATCAGGATTTCTCTATCGCAAACGTAAAGACACTGTCCTTCATGATGAGCAACAGGAGGCAGCGTATCGGCTTTGAC